CACTGCTATGAAGTCAACAGTGGGTTTTTATTTATTTATTGGCTTTAGTAAGTCTAGTTGGTGTCTGCAATGTTTCTTACAAAATCAGAAGCTACAAAAAACTCTGCAGGGTAGGATTCAGGTTGTGATTAAGGCTTTCAATTTTAAATGCCCTCCTGAATGTACCCATGCATGGTCTAGCCTGCCCTAACTAAAGGAAGGTGTAGTCTTATGGTGGGAAAGCCTGGAAACAGAGATTTGGCATGTCCTACCCCTATGGCTGGCTATGTCAGTCACTCAGGAGTGCAGGGAATTTTAAATTTCACCCTTACTTGTGAAATTCACTGTTTCTAACTTGTAGCCTTACTCAATTAAACTCCTCAGATATTAACATCTGTAACCCTTCCCTACAGAGATCAGTACAACACAAAATTAACAATACTGTCTGTGAGTGATTGTATTTAGCATGAAAGTTTAATAGCATCAGAGATGTGATTGTTCCACTACAAGATATTCTTACATTGAATTAGAAATTACAGTACAATTTGATGCAGGAAATGCTATTTTCTAAGAATGGTATTGTACTGGCAGAAAGTTGCATGAAAGCCTCTTCTTTCCCCTAGAGAACTGGTCCTTTGGATCTACTAGACAACAAAAAGTGAATAAGCTGGATTCTTACAGACATACGTGAATTTATAAAAAAATGTAAATAAATAAACCACATTCTGAAAATCAAATAATGCTCAAACAAAACTGCTCTTTTTGTAATGCTCATCAACTTTTTCTTTTTTGTCCCAGTTTTATGCAAAGAACTTAAATATCTTTAGGATAGCACACTCAATGTTATAAAATGATGAATAACATGTTCATTGTTTCTTGAAGTCAGACATTGATACATCTTGTTACCACAGTGAAGTGAGGTACACAGGGTTCTGTGCGTCTGTGCTTATACATTTGAAGCAATAAAACCATGTCACCTTCATTGGATCACCTAAATGTAATTGTATGTGATCATGACACATAACTTATCAATCACAACAGAGGCAAACATTTTCTGCAAAAACCTTAATCTAGCTAAAATTTATTTGAACACTTTAAAAATGTTCAGCTCCTGTGGCAATTGTCACACACGAGCTTTATTTCCTAACTATTAGGGGGAAACAAACCCTCTCCTACCTGATTTAAATTACTAACTCAGAGGGTGAATGACTTCCTTTTCCCATGCATTCATTTTCACTCTAGGATGTGCATTTATATTAACATGGCCTTTGAGATGGTAAAATGAAACAGAGAATATATTTTCCTTAATGGGGCAAAAAAAAGGAGGAAAAGACTGCAAAATGTTTTTGCTGTTTCTGCTAAAATTGCTCCAAGGTAAATAATGCTAGGTTTTGATCACTGTAAATAAACACACATTTTTTTCATTGATACTTGGAAGTTTTCCTGATGAAGAATAGTTTTTGAAGAAAGAATAAGCTTTTTGGAAGCAGTTAACTTTTAAATTAGTGTTAGACTTGGGCAATGATTAAAGAATTTAGCGGAACTCCTAAAACTCCATCATTCCCTTAGAGACAAATTAGACATATTTTTTTTATTTATTTTCAGCTAATGGTCATGCAGAGAAGAGTGAAATAAAGCAGAAATTTCTTTCCATGTGGATTCTTTGGTGGTACTGTCTGAAAAGCATTCTAAGCTCTTGCAGCACAGTTCAAAGAACATGCTGGTGTTTGAGAAAATCAGAAAACATGACATCACTTAAGATAGAGAATTTTGTTAGGATTTTACTAAAACTTCTTTTGGAGAGCTTAAAAATTTCAGAAAAAGTTTTAGTAATCAAAATACATCTTGGTTCCATTTAGTTTATTCTTATTTCTGTAGAAACAAACCAATATGGAGCAGGGACTTGAATAAGGAAGTTTGCTATTTGACAAGGTAGTAATCATGTAAATGCTGACATGATCTGTTACACTTACATGCACCCATTGGAATGGATATTTATTTTTCCTTAAAAATCCTCATGCATACCCTTGGGATGCACTCAGGAACTTGAAGGATTTTGGTTTCCTTTGGCAGGCCTGGAGTTTATGACTTTAACTATAACATGTTGCATTTGCTAGCAGACACTGAGGTACCATAATTCACTTTCATTTAAAGCCACTATTTGGATCTGACCTGTACTTTTCAGTTAAGAGCTAATTTCAATTAGATTTGCTTTTCACTTTACAGAAACATATCAAATATTACTTAGCTTGACTGCACTTTAATTCCATTATGTCACATTTCCAATTTTTATATTAGCTCCTCTGTATGGTTGTAGAAAATAAAATATAAAAAAACCCCTATACTCCAGAGTTCAGTTACATTTAGTATCTTCTTAATTGCAGTAATGTATGCAAAATTTAGGAAATTCAAATCACTACTTAAACTGTACTGAGTTTACAGAATTTCAAAGACTGTCTGGGAGATAACTCTGTATTTTACTTGGAATAAAATGTTTAGCAAGAAGGCTTCATTTTTGGGTGGACAAAAGCACAAGGTCATTATTTTGAAAAGAATAAGAAAGTAGGTAATATGTTCTTCTGAAAAAGCTTGCATATATACTTCAAAAGTTGGAAAACACTGAAATATTCAGTGAAGAACATTCATCATCAGTGTATCTTAAGATACTAGATAGGAAAAGATGCCATACAGATAGTAAAATGCAATGGCATTTAGATTCCAGAAGGCAGGATTGCCATGCTCCTTAGGCCCAAGGACAACTCTCTGTTATACTTTTGATCACAGCTTTACAGTCACACTGGCAGACTATTTACATTTGATAGTGAGAAAGAGAAGATTTAGCACATGGAATGTCAGCAGTTGAGTGAAGCACCATATCTAGCTCAAACACTAATGATAAATGCTTAAAGTTACATGACTTTTAAAACAGAGTGACCTTAAATGTCTCTGTCTTTTAAAATAAAAATTAATAATGAAGGTCTTAATAAACTTTCACCAGAGCTGCTCAGCCATTGCAATTGCATCATCCTACAGGCTGGGCTTGAACTGAGTCACAGTGCTATGTCATATTGCAACAATATATTCTCATGTTCACTTTAGTAGCATGAGGTCATACTATAATCATAAAATTGAATTTAAACTAAATAAATAACTCATTAGTAAATACCAGAATGAAAGTTTCAAGTTGTAAATCATGAATAAATAAATTTTGTACATTTTGTCAACTTGTCTTTCTTAGAAGCTGGTCAAAAGCACTTTCTGAGATTTGAGAAACAGAATCATAGAATGGTTTGGGCTGGAAGGGAGCTTAAAGATCATCTAGTTCCACCCTCCTGTCATGGGCAGGGGTGTCACTCACTACATGAGGTTGTTCAATGCCCCATCCAGCCTAGCCTTGAACACTTCCAGGTGTGAATGAAGCAGATTCATTACCAAAACCACTGTAATTTAAAAATCAAGATATATATTCCTGGCAGTTTTCCCAAAACATTATTTTTGAGCTAGATGAGATATTAGGAACAGTTTATAAGTAAAGCATTTGCTCAATATTGCTGTTACAGTGAACAGAATCACCAAAATGCCCACAGATACTTCAGTAGCCCAGTTCTTTTTATAAATGTTTTTATCAGGAAGTGGGTCATGCCTGGGGCACATGCTGAAATAATATATATATAGTACTGAGGGGATAATTCATAATATTTCCAATTAGATTTTAAAATGCCTTTTTTTGCTTTTAATCCCAGAATCCCCTTTTACTTGATGTCTTAAGGCTTTGCTCTGACATATTGCAAAAGTTGGCCAGGACCCAAATGTTGTATCCAAACATGTGGAAATTTTGGATTCAGAACTACTGCATAGTTAGGAATAGGGCCTTCTTTCCTTCATAAACTGAAGTGAAACAGCTGTGAAGAAATCCTGAGCTTCGATGAATAAGATAGAGATGTCTGTGATTTAATTGAATTGGACTCTGTATCTAGCCTGTATTTAAATCCTAATATTGATCCAACATCAATACACATCCAAAGTTAACCATTTTTTAAAACTCTTGAATTAATGCCACTGCAAAATGTTTGTTGGCTTTTTCATTTGAAATTTAATCACTTGGCATTCAATGATACTTAGCGGTATCACAGATACTTGATAGTGATGTCTAACTAAAGATATAAAAGAAAAGTAACACTGAATCTTCATTTTAGAAATTGAGGTCTTTCAAGTTCTTTCTGATTTGATGTTATTTTGACATAATTATAAGAATTTATGATTGTTGCCATATAGAAGGAGTTAGAGAAACTGCTAGTAGTTCATGTGGTTTCATGAATATTTGCTTGGCATAGGACTAACTATTAAGTGTATATATTTTTCGTCTTATATGAAGGATTTGTGATGTGATTGCAAAAAATTCTGCTAGCTTCAGTAAGAATTTTATGCACTGCATACATAGCATAAAGATCTCTTGTTCCAGTAATTAAACTAATTTATCTGTCTTGTTTTATTATTTGAAGTTCTGACATTCTGGACTTTTACCACAATACTTTGGGTTCTGTAAATTTTTTTAAAAGGTTTTAAGTTTGCAGATAATATTATATTTCCAAAATAATTTTCAGTGTAAAATGAAGCAAATGGACTATGCATTGCTGCTAGATCAAAGATAAATTCAGGAAGCTGGAGTTTGAAATGAAGATCTCTTTTAAAAGTTTGAAGCAGGGATAGATATGCATTCTCATGAAATGTGACTAACATATAATTGTTTATGAGTACAGCATTGTTTTGCTTCTTAGATTATAACAGTAAAAAGAAACATGTTTTCTCTTTAGTGTAAAGAATTTGCTCTAGAAGTCTAGAGTTGTAAATATTTGTGCTTTAATTGAGATAGAAAGAAAAGCAATTTTGAAAAAAAATCTGTAAAATATAAGAAAGTTGTCTCTGTAATTTTTCTTTTTGATTTTACTTAGTTTTTTCTTATATGAATGGCAGATTCAAGTTAGTAAAAATTACCTTTCTGCCTTGCTGTTCTGTTTCAGATGTCAGCATTCAATCAAGACATGAAATTTATTTTCTCAGTCAGAGACCTGTGAAATTTGAATTAAATTCTTTGAAAGTTTCATTCTGGGTAAATATTCATGAAACACACCTGAAGAAACTATCATCACTCCTTCAGGAGTTTCACAATTAAGAGAAGGTAGATATCTGTAGAGTATGCTCTTGGTCATACCATCTCTTCATATTCCGTGGAATTAAATTCTACTCTTCTCACTTTTTAATATATTGGTTATTTTTCAGAATAATGCAAATTGTGAGAAAGGGGGTTCTCTTTATCCAGGAGATAGTTCTGTTTGTCAGAGAACCCTCAACCAATGAAAAGAAAGAAAAAATGTCAGATCATTATTTTTTATGATGTGAGAACACATGCATTTCTTAATGAATACTTGTGAAAATGCAATTTAAATGGTACTCTAGTTTTTGCTCCTCTAATCAATTTCTAATGAAATCTATTTACAATTAATGAAGTAATACAATGTTCTCTAAGCGTAGTTTCCAGTCTGACATTTATAAAATGCTTGAAGGAGTTGGGGCTGCATTTTTTACCCTTGTTTTACTTGTTTAAATTGTAAAAGTAATGGAGTGATGTCAGAGATGTAAGAAACGTTCTGTGATCATTGCATCCATTAAAACAATAAGTGCATGGAAGTGATGGCTGACATTCTAACCACAAGCTCACACCTGATACAGGAGCAGTGGTAAAGACACTAAGTCTATGTACACTGTACCAGGTAACAGTACATCAGCAAAGGCTTTAGAGCATGAACTTAATCAGTAATTTAGTGCCTGAATTTAAGAGAAATTTGTTCACAAAAGAGAGAAGAAAACAGATCTTTAGTATTTTGCTGCACTTTGATGAAAATTCAGCTTTTTTTTAGGGATCTGGAATTTCTAATGAAGACAACATGAGTTTCCTAGTTAGATAGAAATGAATCCAGCATAGATGGATCCAGTCTTTCACTAATGTAAAATATTGCAAAACAGACTTAAAAAGTGAATACAAATATTTAGTGTAGTCCTCGTGACAAAATTTGATCCATAGCTATGAGAATATGAAAAATGCTTTTGTTTTAGCATGTTATCCCTTGGTTAACTGCACCATTTGGCTCTGCTAGCTGGTCTCAAAGTTCCTAATACACAGGAATTGCTTTCTCTTTAGTCACTGCTATACCATAGCTGGCAAAAGAGAACTGAACTGCAGTCATCTCAACACTGATCCAAAGTTCAAACTGTAATGCTTAACTGTTGCCAGACCATGTTAGAAAACTATGTGTCTATTTTATTAGCAGCATTGCATATGTTGTGTTATCTCAGGAATATGAATTGTAGAATTTAGATGGGATGTGTTAACAGGCCGTTCCACAATCAGTGAAGAGCTGATTCACATGCAATTTCAAATGAGTCTTTAATTTGATCTTTAATTTGTTAGCAAATGTTACATACCTGGCAATAACAGGTAGCCATTTGCGGAATCAAAATGCATCTATATTTCTCCCTGCAGCACCATCTCTAGCTTCTTACTTGCTGGGGTCTAGTTTTGCTGTATTTCTCATTATGACATAATATTTTTGGGGATACATGATGTAATGAGGGGCATCTGCTTGTTGAAATCCATAATTTAATAATAAAGTGATATTTTTACTTAGGCTTTCGGCTACAGAGCTGACTTCTTGTACATTAGCACACTTTACATAAAACATCGTGACAGAACTGGACGTGTGTCTGGTCTTCTCAAGGCACTTGCTGGACTGGATGTGCTATGGTATACTGGCATACGTAGGAAAGAAAGGAACTGAGATTTTTTTTGCAAAATATCTGTCTGCTGCTGGATCATTAATTTGCTGTTAGTACCAGATTCACCCACACAAGTAAACCTAAACTTCATCTTATTCAATTACGGCGTTTATGAAAGGTACCAAGATACAGTAGGCACAGATGGTAGTAAAAAAAAGTCATTAAGTCACTGGAATGAGTTCAGCAGAGGGCCACCAGGATGGCTGGGGCTGGAGCATTTGATGTAGGAAATGCTGCCGGGAGAAATATTTTTCTGTCTGAGAAAGGGAAGGCCAAGAGAGGATCTTATTGCTGCCTTCAGTTACCTAATGTCTGGTTATAAGGAAGTTGAGACCATACACTGTTTGGAAGTGCATAGTGAAAGGACAAGAAGCAATGGACTAAACAGAAATTCCAAATAAATATTAGGATTTTTTTTTTTTTAATAATGAGAGTCATCAAACACAAAGCGAATTGCGCTGAGACTGAGTAATTTCCATCCGTGGAGACTCTAAGAACTGGAAAAGCTGGTCTAACTTTGAGGCTGGCCTTGATTTGGTCTGGGGGCTGGATCAGAGGTCCTTCCCCACTTAAATTATTCTGTGATTCAATGAAAATCAATTTATGGATTTTAAGTAAGATGGAAAGCTGATTTTGCCTAACATTATTTTTTTGTTTTCATTGCTGTGCTTACAATAGAATAGACAAAGTGAAGCTCATTGGTTATACTTGCCTTGTAAATTTTCAGTACTGTGGGCTGATATCCAAAGTGAAAGGAAAAAATTATTCAACAATGAGTCTGAACCTTGGCAACTGCTCTATAATCCATTTGTTGGCTGTTTATTTTTCTGTAGATGTAGATTATTTTGCCTGAGCCAAAGATCTTAGAAATTAATGTGTAAATATGAGTTTTAACCTGTTTGCCAATAAAAGAGACAAAGTAAAATGAAATCAATGCATCAGGGAGAGATTCACTGATGTGAGTGGCCTCATCTTCAAAACAGCCAGAAATCATCAGAAATAGCCCTAATGTACTTTAATAGAGCGAAAAGGATTTAAATTATGGGCTGTTTCTCTCTATTAGACCTGATTTTTCTGCGACTTTCTTTTTTCAGATATTTTACTCCAGAAGTTTTCTTGTGAACAGAAAATATATGAGATGACCCTGGAAAGTGACCCGCAGAATGGTACAGTCTACTTTCCTGTATGCTTTTACTAGTTTTTATCTACTTCCTTTTTCTGCTTCTGTGTGTAGAATACCAATAGCTGGAAAATGTTGTTTTCCCAGGAAAATGCTTGATGAAGAAAAAAACCACCAGCATCACCATCTGAATTCCTATTAATGGTAAATCTGCATCTTGTATGTTTTTTCAAGTGCTCAGGAGAATTGAGCCTGTCAGATACAGATGTGCATAGAAGCAGTTAATGAGATGATTGTAGAGAGATATTAACAGCTGCAGAGTTCAGAAGTGCAAACAGATTTGGAATGGTGGTGTAGACACTTGATGGGTCAAGGTCTCTCCTGTTTTGCATTGATATCTGTTGTCCAACTGTTTGGAACAGAGATGATCTGTTTGCATTAATCTTTACTAGATTTTTGAAAGAGCAACACAGCATCACCTCCCTGTGCATGCAATTACTGAATACCACACATGAAGAAACTGGGCAATTAGTCAGTGTGGGATTATTTTTCTCAGCGTAAAATGCAATTCAAATGGTTTATAGTCTTATATAGTAAATATAGTATTCTGGAACTTATACTATTTATGTCTTTATGGATGTATGAGGATTCACAATTTAAGGGAAGAAACAAGAGGAAATTCATGTCTCTATTCAGACACATATTAGCACTGAGCCACAGAGAGAGGGAATTTGATGTTGAAGCATAGCTACAGCTGTGGAAGTGCATCCCCAGAACGTGGGTGTAAATGTTCTGTGCTCATGGTTCAGCTGGGGGATGTGGAAGTAGCATCCTAGAAGGATTTGGGTCTTCTGCAGTGGGAATAGTGGAAGAAACTAGTCCTGCCTGCCACTGCCATGTGCATTTCAGTAGGATGGAAATCCATCTCCTTTTCCTTTGTCTCTTGAGGACTCACACAAAAATTACAAAGGTTCTTGAGGTCTCTGTGTAATTATCTCCCTCTCATCCGGGGGAGGGGCTGATCAGTGCAGAGATATGGACACTGACAGTCTTCCTTCTGCTTCTATATGGTAGAATAATACCTCAAAACTTGGATTTAGATGAAGGTTATGTCAAAGGTGCTCAGGCAAGAGTGTCTTTTGCTTGTACACTGTCAAAACACAGATCTTTGGTGACCTTGATCATTTTTTATGCAGTATAAACTGGGTCTGTAGCCCTCAGAAAAATCCCTGGAAATACTTCCAGGACTGGATGGAAAAGCTCAAGATTTAAGGACCCCTCACATCTGTTCTCTGTCACCAGCTTAAATTTAACCTATGACAGTAATGAATGAAAGTCCACGTGCTGTTTGGCCTGTGCAAAGACTCTGTAGTCATTTGTGTACATCACAAATGGCATTAATTGGCAGCTGTGTCAACAGCCTCTTTGAAGGAATTGCGAGTTCATCAGGCACATGGGCAGAATTGGTCTTTCCCTGGTAAAAAAAAAAAATACCCCTTTCATATGAGGCACTTAAGACAGAGTAGCATGGGGAAACTTGCCAAGATCCTGCCTGGTTTCTGGCCACGACAGTAGTTGCATTGCTGAGGGCTGCTCTCGCTCGGCGGCAGTCACGCCGCTCCCCTGCCTCCAAAGCACCCACGGTGACAAGGGCTGTGCTCCCTCAGCAGACACTTGCAGAGCTGAGCTCTGCTTTCACCCATTTCCAGGCAAAAGCAGAGCTACCTGCCTGACACTGAAAGAATAAAACCTTTACAACTGTTACTGCAAGGCATTTTCTCTTTCCCTGTCCTCGTTTCTGCCAGCTTTTAATTGTTGCACACTTACTTTGTGAAAGCAACTGTGGTCCTTGCCATAGCTCTCGTGTGACACACTTGAACTAATTTCATTGAACAGTTCTGTATTTTAAATTTATTTCTGTGAGATATCCACCCATGGGATCTTCATTAAGTGTTTGCAGGTAAAAATGAACTGGTGAGAGGTATTGCTTTATCTCTTTGTTTCCTCCTTCTAGACCCTTTACTTCACAATTGCACTTTTTTCAGTCATTCAACCATAAAAGTACCTTCTTCTGTGCTACGTAGAGGGCTCTTTACAGCACTGAAGCTTACCAAAGAGTGTGTTTATTGAAAGATTTGGTGCACTGAAGCTGATTATGTCATTATGCCTGTTATGCCTGTTTCTCATTCCCCCTCACTGATGACTATATAAACTTATTCTAGAAAATCACTCAGTAGCCCTGAGTGATACTCCTAAAAGATTTAATTCTTATGATTTTTTTCAAAAAAGATTTGTGATTTTACCTGTATTTGTGAATCACTACATTCCTAAGTTGTTTGCTGAATACCATAATCATAGATTTTGCCAAGGGAAAAGGAAGACAGTGGCTGTACTGAAGACACAATATATAACTGATAGTATTACAGCAGGAGGGTTCTGCATAAATTTTTCTAACTCATTCCACTGAATTTCTATGAGTTCTCAAGAAAATTGCTTTAATTTCTATGCCTACATGCTGGCCCATAAATTTCTATCTTGGTTTGACTTCATCTGGAAATTAAGTCCTACATAGATGCTCACTCACTCTCCCCTGGTGGGATGGGAGAGAGAATTGTAAGGGTCAGAGGGAGAAAACTCATGGGTTGAGATAAAAATACTTTAACAGGTGATGATCCATATCAGATCCAGTCCTGATCTTGTGAGTTGGACTAGATGATCTGCACAAGTTCCTTTCAACATGATTCTCTGATCTATGGACAGTAAGAAAGCTGCCATTGTGAGAAATGAGAATCCATAAATTATTTGTCCCACCTAGGAAGCATCTTGTATAATAGTTAAAGTGTGTCTCGTTGCCTCATAAAAAAAATTACTTCATTGCAAACTCACAAAAGCAGGAGAGAAAGCTATCAAACCACTGTTTTAGTGTGGGATCACGTTAGCAGTCTGATTTACTGTACATTATATCTACAATTATATTTCAATAAAAGGATATCTTGATTCATCTACCACAAGAATAATTCCTTTAATCTTCTCCATTAAACATAAATGAAAAAAACCAAAACTCTCACATTGTGTAGTTCTCTGTCTGCTGGAATTTTCTTTGGTAAGTGGAAAATTCCTCTGTAAAAATTAGACAAATTTAGTATTACCATTTTCTTTACACTTGTATGTTATTTTTATTTATATTTCCTTTAAGCAAACACTATTCATGAGACTGACAGCTCCAGGAGCACCAACTGGACACGACAGCAGTGGTCACCATGTCTCAGCAACTGATCCAAAATTTGAGTTCATGGAGAAAAACAAGTAACTCATTTAAATAAGAATTTACTGTTATCTGTTAGGAACAAAATATCTTGGTTTCCTGGAATCTTGTACATGAGCAGAAGCTAGGTCTAAAGAAGTCCAAAGGTTACACAGTGGCCACAGAAATTAGTTCATAGTTTTTCTTTCTTTTCCCAACTCAAACTAAAATTCCAGCCAAGAGCTTTGAAAGTGATATGTGTGTCGTAATTTCCAAAAGTTCAGTTTCTTGTATCATGAAGAAACTTGATTTTAGAAATGGAATAGCCCATTTTCTAACAATGAAAATGCTTACTCCCAAATAGTGATGACCCAAATTAGGACATTTAGAGACACTAGTAATTTCAGAAAATCCTAAGAATATTGTTCTCTAATAACATTTTTCCCATGACCTAGTAAGGAAATTGTGCTAAGTTACTACCTCCTTATCTATTTTATTTTTAGTAAAGTCAATGCTCAGAGGAGATAATGTCTAGGATTAATTATATGTGAACTATACATTGGCATTTTATTATTTTATTTCATGATAGAACTAGAATGCCTTCCTATGATTATTAATGCAAAAGTGCTCTTTATAAAGTACCCCAAATTAAAAACAGGGCTTAAACTGTCTCTCTTGTCTCATGCCAAGGCTTGTGAAATCACAAAATATGGGGATACCATTATTTTCATTGCTTTAGAAACATAGTGGCTTGCATTTCTTTAATTTTGAGCAGAACTTAAATTTCTAAAATATGTGATGTTTGTGGTCTTTTACATTGTGTCATTAGTCAGAGTCTGTGGACACTTCTAGTTAGTTTCATGAACTCCATTTGTTAACCAGTAAGAAGCACAGTACAATTATGTTATGTCAGCTAAATAAAAAAAGCAAAATTTTATTTAATATTTTTTAATAAAAAACTGTCAGACTATTCCCTCTCCAGAGTTCATTCATGCAAAGAAAACAGCTAATATTTTAGACCCATACCTAATACGGAAAAAATAATAATTTCTAAATCTGGAGTAAGACAAATCCTTTGGGGCTTTGTTCCTGTTTCCTGCATAAAAGCTGCAATTTCTGTAGTATTCTTCCACCTCTTATTGCTTGTGTCTAGACATAAATTGACCATAAAACAATATTAATATTGTATATTGCCTTGGTTAAGAGTTTTTGTTTGGCATCAGGGAAGAACTTTGAACATTTTAATGGTACTTTCTGTAGCACAGTAGTCGTGAATGAGTTTATTTTAATGTAGGAGTAAATTGGTTACTGAAGGTATTTTTATTATGCATCTCCTTGTAATTTCTGCCAAATAAACAAAATATTCCTCAGATAATTGGCCTATTAGTCTGTCACTTTCTAACTATTTTTTTCTATGCTGAATTAAAGGGCCCATAAATCCTAAATTCTTTATTAGGTTGCTGACTTTGCAAAGTTTGATGGTAAGTAAACTGGCATAGCATTAAAGGTCCTCATTGAAGGAAGACAATATGTCTTTTTGTATCGACTTCTGCATGATTCAATTTTCACTAAGTATCACCCTGACCTTTATAACAGCACTGTGAACTTTAAAAGCCAGTTTACATGTGGTAGTTAACTTGCCCTTGTATAAATTGGTTCCACAAATGATGACCTAGCCTGTCCAGATTTGATAAATATGTAGCTGATAGTCCAATAATGAATTTAAAAGGTCTTCAAAAATGCTCAAAGCAATAATTAAACATTTTCAGAAGAGGTATATTAATGGGATTAATTAGAGGTAA